AAAATTACCCGAATCTTTAACAAGTGTTCAGAAGTTAGTTTTATATATTGATTCAAGATTATGAAATTATGAAACACATCTAGAAATAGTTCCAGTGAAAAAATCATATATTTCATTCATGTCTCTGTCAAGCACAGTTCTAGATATAGACGTTTTTTCATGGTATATGCAATTTTAACTGGTCTTTCACCGTCTCAGATGTGAAAAATTCACCATTAAATTTTTTTGATCTCCTTCATTTCTTTAAGAGACGACTAATCTAAAGAGTCTCTGGATGTTGGATGTCTCACCGCCTTTGTGGCTTCTCAACAGGCAAATATAAAAATGGCTGCACGACACTTTCATCATGTCCTAGTTTATGGTAAGGAGAATCTTGTATATCCGTTTGTGTTTTTTCTTATCTCTTATCTATTTTCTTTATCAAAGGTTTAGATTCTTGTATGTCTGATTTTGGGTTTTTGTCTTGAAAATAATCGATTGGTTGTAATGTTGTATTAGAGTTGTTTGGGTTTTTTCCCATTTATGCAAATTGTTTGTATCATCTTAGTTTGGTCTAGGGAGTCGCCGACTATTATCTCTAGAAGGGTTACGACTCTTGCTGGTTTTTGGTATTTCAAGTTGAATTCTATCAATGAAAACCAAATGAAATTTTTTTTTTTGATAAAAAACTTTGTTAACTGTTTTTTTTTTTTTGTTCAAAGATTTGTATTCATTCATCAGACCAAAACAAGGGTCAGAGTTGCCAAGAATACAAAGGTAACAAAGCTTAAGATAAAGCATAAACAACATAATAAGGGAAGTGCAATTGCTACACAAAGATAGCTAATAAAGTTCGACGAAGGATCCATGAGAGCTTGTAGACAAAAGCTAGATAGCAATTTGGCGCAAGTGATAACACGGTTTGTCGAAACAACATCCGCAGACGAAGCGTTGGACGATGTAATGGTCACTGTCACTAGACTACATGACGTTGAAAGGGGATCCATGGCCGAGACTCTCGACGGTACGAGAAGAGCTACATGGATTTGCTCATCGGCAAGGAGAAGGATGACTACGATTCTATAGTCGGTTGGGGTTTGCTTTAAAGTGTGGGACAAAGGGTTGAAGAAGCTTCGGTAACCACCGCTCCGTGGAGACGGGATCATAATGCCGTTCTTCTTCACTCTTTTGATTTCATAAATAATCTCCATAGGTGATTCTAGAGGCAGGGTTCTCAAGTAAAAATTGTACCAACAAAGCAACAATGGTAGAATAGGTTTCAATTGAAGTCCACGATCAATTGGTTCCATGAATCTACACCAATGTTGGCTAATAATGGACAAAGAAGAGTTTGGACTAGATCTGGGCTTTTGTAGAAGTTGATTTGGGTCACACCTTTTATAGTTGGGCTTCAAATTAAATGGTTTATTAGACCAAACACTTGAATGGGCCAAGAGAGAAAACATAAGGGGCCGAAATGGGATAAGCCCAAAAACGAAAACCCTAGTTCCCCTTTGACTAGGTCGATGAGGCTTTGTGTGTGGCGGCTGGGCGACGACGAGCAGATGATAGGAGTTGAAAGAGACATCGTCGGAGGTTGTGGCACCGGAGTAGACATGGACGACGGGTTGCGGTACCATTTGGGAAGAGTGCCGGGATCTAGGACGGGGGAGGCTTGATGGATAAGGGTTGACCCTTCCGCCGCCATCTTCATCACCGGTTTGAGCCATGCTAAATTCCGGTGAGGTCCGTGGTCGACGAGGATCGCGAAGCAACTAGATTCCATAGATCTAGACGAAAGTGAGAGAATAAGCCCGGATTCAAGAGTTTTAGCAAATTTGGCTTTCGGGGATCTCGCCAGAATTAAAGCCAAGTAAGTTTCATCGATTGCAACCCGAAGCTTAGAGTACTGGCGGAGATATGAGGTTCGAGAAAGTGTGAAAAAAGGATCTCCGACCACCAAAAACCAAGCTAAAGGAAGAGCACCGTGGTGGTCGGGAAGGTTAAAAAAGGAAACAAAAGGCTTGCGAAAAACGGAACAGACACAAGAGGATGAAAGATGATTAGATACATCCCGACGCCGGCGAGCAAAGGCTCCACCGGCGTCGGAAAATAGGTTCATGCGGCTGTCCTCGATTATTGTGCCTGAGAGGGTCTCGAATTGTTAACTGTTAAGCATGATAAAAAATGGGGATATTGTGCCGGCCTTGTACGGCCCAAAAAAGATTGGAAAAAAAAAAAACATGATAAAATCGAACTTCCCGCTAAATGGAAAAATAAAATCCAGTTCTTATTTCTAAAAATAAAAAAACATAAAAATAAAATAAAATGATTTCTCTACCACTCACTACACCGATTTTACCCAGCCGGTGTCTCCTCCACCAAACCCGCCGGCAAAATTCGACTCACCGCCGCTTCTGGATTCGATCATCGTCGAGCTTACATGAGCAAGTCACCGCGAAGACGACGAAGCGAGTAGTTCTTGTGAGACATGGACAGAGCACGTGGAACGAAGAGGGGAGAATTCAAGGAAGCTCCGATTTCTCCGTTTTGACGAAGAAAGGCGAGTCTCAGGCCGACATTTCTCGCCAGATGCTCATCAACGACTCATTCGATGTCTGCTTCACCAGGTCCTGCATTTTCTTAAATCTATTGAATCGGTTTTTGAAATCTAGTCACTTGGATTTGGAATTTTAGATCGAATCGAGTGGTTGGTGATGAATTTGACTTTGTAGAATTTAGATGATTCAATTTTATTTTTGATTAGTATTCACAGCCCTTGTGTGTTCTTGTTCTCTGTAATGGGGATTTTTGTTGTTAGATCCTTTTTGTAAATTTGGCTGCAATTTGTTATATATTGTCTTCAGTCCATTGAAGAGATCAAAGAAAACAGCTGAAATCATATGGGGAAGTCGAGAAAATGAGATGATTTTCGACTACGAGCTTAGAGAAATCGATCTTTACTCGTTTCAAGTAAGTCTAGCTGAGATGGGGAGATAATAGATTTCATAGACCAGTTATAGTATATGTTCTTAACTCTTGTTTTAGTTGATGGTTGTATACTAGGGTTTGCTTAAGAAAGAAGGGAAAGAGAAGTTCGGTGAAGCTTTTAAGCAATGGCAAGAAGATCCGGCGAACTTCATCATCGATGGTCATTATCCCGTGAGAGAGTTATGGTCACGTGCTAGAAGCTGTTGGCCCGGTATTCTTGCTCATGAGAGCAAGTCTGTTCTTGTTGTTGCTCATAATGCTGTTAATCAGGCTCTTGTGGCAACAGCAATTGGTACTTGTTCTTTTTCTTCTTTCAGCAACTAGCCGATTTTTCATTTCTGTGTTTTGAGTTTTTTTTTTACGTCTGCGGTCTTTGGTTAATATGACAGGACTGGGAACAGAATATTTTAGGAGTTTGTTGCAGAGCAATTGCGGTGTAAGTGTACTGGACTTCACACCAAGAGCTGATGGTGGATCTCCTCACGTATGTTTTAATCGACTAAATCAGGTAAACTGTGGATGGCAAGCTAACCTTTTTTTTTTTTTGATGAAACACGAAAGCTCTTCTTTAATTAGAACAAATGCCTGGCTTTGAATTAGATTGATAAGTCATAATCATCTTAGATATATGAACCTTTGTTGTTGTTGCAAGATTCTCGAGTTGGGTTTAAAATGTTAGAGGTAGTCAAAATTCTGCTTACTGTCTTTCTAGTACTAATGCAGACACCTAATTCGCCTCTAGCTGGTGGAAGTTCTGGTGGCCGGAAAGCTAGTAAGCAGGTCATACTTGTCTGCCATGGTCAGGGGAATAATGAGGTATAATTGTATGAGTCCCTTACGTGGTTCTCTTAATTCATCTTTATTTGCCAGAATTAACCTCCATGGATGCGCGTGGAAGGTGTTTTTGCTCTTTACACTAATTTCTGAGCTAAGAATAGTTTGGAGGCTTTTAGGTAAACTTTTACTGGATTTTCTTCGTTTTTCAACATATCAGGATTCTGCAGTTATTAACCAAGCAGCCACTAATGATCAGTCAATGAACATGCTTGGTGTGATACAGGTAACAATAACATACACATATGACTTTTGTGAAGGACAATTGTAGGTATTTCTTAATCCTGCATTTAGTTTACTCTTTAAAAATGCGTACTTGTTGATTATTGCAGTCACAGAAAACCGCAGAGCTTCTTCTTGATCTAAGGGTTAGTTCTATAGTTTGCAGCCCTAAAGCAGCCTCCGTTGAGACTGCTGGAGTAATATCCCGGGTAAGTTATATAACTCCTATATACTTAGCTTCATTTTTCTTAACAAACTGAAGACCTTTATAAGAAATATATTTCTTCGGAATCTTGTTTCTTTTCTTGCTAACAGTTGAAAGACTTGATAGGTGCAAAAAGCTGCTGGTTGTTTAGGTGTAGATAGTGTGCCTCGCCACGTGAAAACGAAACAAATGAATGAGCTCGATGTTGAGGGTGTTCTTCGCAAATCTAATCAGGCAAGATTACTTATTCTGATGCAATCAATAGTAAAATGAACACTGATCTTTCCGATCCTTCAATTCTGCAGGACAACGATGTGATTGCATCAAGCCAACCTGGTTGGCTAAGTCAGTTAGACGAAGAAGCGGTTTCAGCTCTATGGAACAGATCCGGAAAAGCATGGGAATCACTCTTAGACGAACTATCGGACGAGGAGTCAAACCCAGGAGAAATCATGGTGGTGGTTGGTTCTCCAATGACTCACATATCGCTCATCGCACAATGCCTTAACCTCACTAAAGAAGGGCTCGGGCTGTTCCACCTAGACGCAGGTAGCATCAGTGTCATAGATTTCCCGGATGGTCCTAGCAGAAGAGGAGTAATCCGTTGTACAAACTACACCGCTCATCTTGGAAGATGGTGCAGCCCGATCACAAGACCCGCCTGAAGAATCCTGTCTTAAACACGATAAAATTACAGCAATGTTATTTTTAGCAGACTTTTGCATGAAATATAGTTTGGAATCCAACATCATCATCTGAGACTGAGAGCTTTGTCCAAAGTATATAGATACAAAGACATCATAACAAAATTCAACAAAATAAAAATCCAAGTCCAATATCTAGGAATGCTAGTCTCGGTCTGATCATAGATAGATAGCCCCACCTAAAAGTCTTTCTAAGAGTCACTCAAATGCACAACAAGTTTCTTGAGAACTACCGAGTTCTCTACAAAGTACGCTGCCACTTTAACTCACAATGGCATCATAATAGAATTCAACAACATCAAAATATTCTACCAACACGGCCGGTTTTTTTGTTTTTTCGATAACAAAGAGCACGGCCGTTTAGCGCATTAAAAACTTCGATTTGACACATGCTAGATCGCCTCGGCAATGCAAGGAGATCCTTTAAGACAGCCCGATTTGCTAGTCTTAGTCTTAGAAAGGAAGATGCCAAACCCAGAACAAGTTTCTTGAGATTCATAGAGTTCTCTACAAAGTACCTTGCAACCTCCAATGCACCATCATCTACGGAGATTCTGTTTTTTATCTCTACAAACTCCAGCGATGACAACAAACACTTAGGCACAGGCGAGACTCTCCTTTCTACCATTGCTTTCGTTCGATTAACTATACAAGTTGTATCCTACAAAATACATAAGATGAATATAATAAATATACTAGATATAACAAGATTTCTCTACTTGCATGATAAAAATTTGGAAGTTGGTGCAATTCATTACCAAGACGATAAATTTGAGATTCGGACAGCTTTCAAGAAGCTTTGGCAGGATGTCCAGGAAGTCAAAGGATGATAACCAAACACTTGCTTTCAAACAGGACAAGTTGCAAAACTGTGGCAATGAATCCACTTTCAAGTAGGAATAGATTAACTGCATGCAAAAAAAAAAGAACGAAGAGAAGACGACTATGGGTTAGCAAAAGTTGTTTATAGTATTAAATATACAATGTGAAGTTCATAAAAACATACCTCCATCATATCCTCAGAGACGATGAGATACCTAACTGTCGAGATACCCGCGAGAAAGTTATGGGCCATTTGTTCCTTCGAACAGCCAACTACACTTGAAATATTAAAGGGGCCTAGAATATTGACCTTAACTAAGGAACCCAAATTGCTTATGGTTTTACTTTTGGATTTTTCATTGTTGAAAGTCAAATACTTGAGTCTAGGGGCATCAACCACAAGCCCCGAGTTGTTCTCTCTATCTCTATCATAACGATTAAAAATCTCATCAGATCTATATGATTTATATCCTACACTAATTAAGACTGGTTATTGACTGAGAATGCACTCGTAAAACCCTAACATTATCATCTGCCCTAACAATGGTCAAATCTTCGAGAACGGGGCAAGACGAGATAAGCGACTCCAGACTCGCCTCATTAGGATATACATTTTCTTCTAAACACAAAGTTTTGAGACGAGGTAAAGAATCAACGCGAGGATCAAACTTACGCAACAATACCCGATACAGTCTTAAGTGAAGGAGCGTCTTACAGGTATAGAGGCTTAGGGGCATCAGTTCCCAATACACACGCATCAGTAAACGACCACCAAACTCAACATCAAGATGCGTAAGTTTACCCCTAGCCACAAAGTCTGTCCATAGCGTGACACAAGACGGATCAGTCTCATCCTTCTGAATACTTAGCTTGAGCTTGTTCAAGCATGACTTCGGTTCCCTAGAGGAAAATAGGAAGTCGTTCATAAAATCCACAAATGTATTGTAATCTGGGAACTCACAAGAGTCCAAATGCAACCCCGGAATCAAAAGCCAGATACTTTTCCACCTCTTGGACAAAACACTAGTCCTGACAATATCCTTTGTCGGAAGATACGAGAGTATCTGAGATATTAAAACCTCGGGTAATTTGCTTATCAGATCCTCTCTTGCATTTGAGAATCCTGCTAGCGGTTCGACGCAAATACTTCTCTCTATCCTTGACTCCATTGGATCCTCTCGCAAACCCTAGAAATATAACGCAAACAAATCATCATAATCGAGAATAAACGCAAGAAATCAAGAAATGAGTGAGGAAGAAGAAGATGAAATCACCACATCCGGAGAGTCGCGTACGATGCGCCGATGCAACGAGAGAATGATATTAGCCTATTAGGGTTGAGAGCTTATCTTTGAACATACAAATCCTTCAGACTGATTACACTTGTCAAATGACACTTGAGAGCTTATCTTTCTTTGGATTTCCTAGTGTTTATTTTTTAAGATTTTTCATTTATTACTTTGGAACATAATTTTTACAAAGAGATCATACAAACATGATAAAAAAACGTTACGTGAGTACAATAAAGAACAATAAAACTATGAAAGCAAATTTCGACCATGTTTTTTTCTGGAAAACTTTACTTTTTTTTTTGGTAAGTTCTGGAAAACTTTACTCAAGCTAACGGATTTGATAATCCGTTAATCCGTTATTTTCTGTTTTTCGTACTCGATTGTTTCCCTCGCTAAAGGTTATCTTAGCTTTTAAAAAAAAAAAAAATTATTTGGGCCGAAAGCCCAATAATTTAAGTTTCACCAACTCTAGATAACTTTTTTCGATCATCAAACTCACAGACTAGTTATTTTGATAAAAGTACATAATTCTTTGATTTTTGTAACTGTTTCCGATTAAATAAAAGAATATGTACATTTTTCAAAAGCAAGAAGTGTTTACAAAATAGGAAACACTTGTATATATCATTGGACCAGTCCTTGAGAAGTTGTGAAGCCAATCTTGGATCAGTTGATCTGAAGGAGTAAGTTCTGTTCTTAGTAGTACGATCACTTGTCTTGGAGAGCTGAGTTGATTAATTGTAAACTGAAGATAAAAGAGTCTTGTGCTAGAGTTTAACTTGGGAACCTAAACACACAACATATGGTCAGACAAATCACTTGAGAGCTTATCTTTCATTATTTTTGTAGTGTTTATTTTTCTAAGATTTTCCATTTATTACTTTGAAACATAGTTTACAGTGAGATTTTACAAACATAATAAAAAGTTATCAATAAATTATCAACTCTATACTACAGAACAATAAAACTATGAAAGCAAATTATGACCATGACTTTTTTTCTAATAAACTTTACTCGTTAGCAGATTATGAAATCCGTTAATTAATGTGTTATTTTACTTTTTCCCACTCGATTGGCTAGTCGTTATCTTCATTTTTTTAGTATTTTTTATTGGGTCAAAATGAGCAAAATAATTTGTTTCTCCAACTCCAAATAACTTTTCTAGTTCAAACTCTTTGATTAGTTATTTCGACAAAAGTACTTAATTTGATTTCTTTTATAAGGGTTTTTGATTAAATAAATAAATAGGTACATTGTTCAAAAACAAAATAAGTCTTATCTAAACAAGAAACATGATAAACCTCAACAAAGAATCTTTGTGATTTGTAGATTTTTTCTACTAATATGATCAAAGTTAAGGTTTTCTTTCTTTCTACCGCTCGTATATTGTTGTCTGCGATAAAGAAGTAGAAGGTCTTTCTTGATGCCCTGAGGAGATAGGAGAGTAAGGTAGTTGAAGGTATGAACCCATTGGCGAAGCATAGGAAGGATAAAGAGTAGATGATTTTTAACTACCTTTACCTCACTAAAAGAATGGCTCAGCTATTACAACGGTAGTCCAGGAAGATGGTCCGTACATAGGTTCAGTGTCCACTAGATTAATTCAATTTTGAAATATTTGCTTCAATGAGAAAAGAAGAAGATAATAGCAAAAATAAAATCCTCTAAAAACAAACCAACTAGGCACAGTATTGGCAAAAAAAAAAAAAAAAACCAACTAGGCAACTATATATGAAATACTAGAAAAATACACAAATCTTTTAGAGTTAACAGAAGAATATGCTAGATCCGGCACTTGAGAGAGAATCACAAATCTTTGTACATATCTCCCAATTTTTAGTCATTACATAAAAAAAAAAATGCGAATTCTAAAATATTGTGGCCGAAGCTCACAATGGCATCTTAATAGAATTCAAGAACATCAAAAGATTCCAAGAGCACGGCCGTTATGCACATTGAAAACTTCGATTTGACACATGCTAGATCGCCTCGGCAATGCAATGAGATCCTTTAAGATAGCTGGATTTCCTTGTTTTAGAAAGGAATATTGCAAATGCAGAACAAGTTTCTTGAGATTTATAGAGTTCTCTACAAAGTACCTTGCAACTTCCAACACACCATCATCTGCTTCGTATTCGTTTTTTATCTCTACAAACTCGAGCGATGACAACAAACACTTAGGCACGGACCAGACTCTCATTTCAACCATTTCGTCCGTATAATCAGTAAAACAAGTTAAAACCTACAAAATACATAAGATGAGTTAATATACTGGTTATAACAAGATTTCTCTAATTGCATGATTAATTTGAAACTCTAGGGTTGGTGACTTGGTGCAAGTCATTACCAAGACGATGGATTTTAAATTCGGACAGCTTTCAAGAAGCTTTGTAAAGACGTCCAGGAATGTCACGGATGTTGAACAAACGTTTCCTTTCAAATAGGACAAGTTGCAAAACTGTGGCAATGAATCTACACTCAAGTAGGAAAATATTCTCTACTTGCAAAAAGGAAACGAAGAGAAGACTATGGGTTAGCAAATGTTCTATATAGCAGAATATATATAATATGAAGTTCATAGAAACTTACCTCCATCATATTCTGAGAGATGATCATTTCCCTAACTCTCGAGATACCGGTGAAAAAATTATGGGCCATTTGTTGCTCTGAACAGCCAACTACACTTGAAATATCAAAGGCGCTAAGAACGTTGACCTTAACTAAAGAACTCAAATTTCTTACGATTTTACTTTTCGATCTTTCGTAGTTGAAAGTCAAATACTTGAGTCTAGGTGCATCAATCACAAGCCCCGAGTTCTCTCTAACTTTTTCAGAATAATAATTGTACTTACGAATTAAGTCACCAGGATTATATCCTACACTAAAACTGGTTAATGATTGAGAATACACTCGTAAAACCTTTACATTATCATTCATCCTAACAATGGTCAAATCTTCGAGGACGGGGCAAGACGAGATAAGCGACTCCACACTCGCCTCATTAGGATATATATTTCGTTCTAAACACAAAGTCTTAAGACGAGGTAAAGAAACAGACTCAAAGTTACCCATCAACACCCGATAGAGTCTTAAGTGAAGGAGCGTCTCACAGATATAGAGGCTTACGGGCATCATTTCCCAAAACTCACGCCACAGTGCATAACCACCAAATTCAACATCAAGATGTGTAAGGTTACCCCTAGCAACAAAGTCTATCCAAGGCGTGGCACAAGACTGATCATTCTCATGATCCTTGTGAATATCTAGCTTGAGCTTGTGCAAGCATGACTTCTGTTCCCTAGAGAAATCTAGGAACTTGTTCACAAAACTCACAAAGGTATTGTAATCTGGGAACTCATAAGAGTCCAAATCCAACCCGGGAATCAAAAGCCAGACTCTTTTCCACCTCTTGGACAAAACACTAGTCCTGACAATATCCTTTGTCGGAAGATACGAGAGTATCTGAGATATCAAAGCATCGGGTAATTTGCTTATCAGATCTTCCCTTGCAGGCCGTTCGAGGCATATTCTTTTCTCGTTCTTTGCCTCCATCGGATCCTCTCGCAAAACCTAGAAATCTAACGCAAACAAATCATCATGAACCGAGAATAAACGTAAACAAATCCAGAATTGAGTGAGGAAGAAGAAGGTGATATTATATTACCAGATGGATCTAGCAAGGGTTCGTGCGTTGGGAGATCCGGAGAGTAGCTTGCGATGTAACGAGATAATGATCTTTGGGTCAAGATTGGCACAAATGATGGTACTACTAAACAAACAATTTGGGCACCTTTTTAACTCGATTACACTTGTCAAATGACACTTAAGAGCTTATCTTTCGTTGATTTTTACAGTAACATTTTTCATTTATTACGTTTAGATCATACAAACATAAGAGATCATATAAACATGATAAAAAGTTATCTAAAATTATCAATTATGATAAAGAACAACAAAACTATGAAAGCAAATTATGACCTAGTCTTTAATTTTTCTTAAAAACTTATTTGCTAAGGGATTATCAAATCTGTTATTTTCTTTTTTTTTCCATACTCGATTGTTTCCCTCGCTAATGGTTAATCGTTTCTTTAATTGGGTCAAAAGGCCCAATAATTTCTTTCTTTCCCAATTTTAAATAATTTTTCTGGTTAAACTCACTAATCAATTATTTCGATAAAAGTACATAAATCGTTGATTTTTTATAATTATTTTCGATTAACTAAAAGAAAATGCACAATGTTCAAAAAGAATAAGTCTTTGAAAACAAGAAACATCATCAATCTCAACAAAGAATCTTTGTGAGTTGTATAATTTTTATAATTAAAATATTCAAAGTTAACCTTTGGTAGTTTAAGCACCTTGGACTTGTATATATATATATATATATCATTGAACCAGTTTTTAAGAAGTTGTGAAGCCAATCTTGGATCAATTGACTAAAGGATGAAGTTCTGTTCTTAGTAGTACCATCATTTGTGTTGAAGACCTGAATTGATGTGCAGGTCCGGCCCAAATGGGTAGTACGGAGAGGCAGCAGCCAATGGACTTATCACTATTTCAAAAAGGTTTTTTTTTTTTTTTTTTATTATAAAAAAGTGTATTCTAAAGGAAAAATAAACAATTAAGTCCACAAAACAATATATTTGATAGAAACAAAAGCTTTTTCAAAGAAAATTATGTAAATTAGACCCCAAATAATTAAATTTTTAATCTAAATGAGATCCAAATATCATTATATTTTTGTATAAATTTATTGAAGGCCCAAAAACCTTTGTTTTGCCCTAGGCTAAAAATTATTAGGCTGGGGCTCTTGTTGTGTAACTTGAAGAATTGTAAAAACGACGATTCTTTCTTTCTACAGCTCGTATATTGTTTTCTGCCTCTTAATTAAGGAGTAAAAGGTCTTTCTTGATGCGCTGAGGAGATGAGAGAGTATGATAGTTGAAGATATCAACCCTTTGGTGAAGCGCAGGAGGGATATATAAAGAGTCTTCTCGTAATACAGAGAATCACAATTATTTTATGTCCCAACTTTAATTTAGTCACTTATTACATAAAAACAGTTTGGCCTCAGTGTAGCCGAAGCTCACGATGACGATTAAAAGAAATCAACATAATCAAAAAAATTTAGCGGTTCACAAACTTCGATTTGACACGTGCTAGAACGCCTTGGAGTTGCAAGGAGATCCTTTAAGGCGACGGAATCTTCTTCTCCTGGCATGAAATATCCCAAACGCATAACAATTTTCTTGAGGATTACTGAGTTTTCTACAAAGTACCTTGCTAGTTCCACTGCAACAGGCTCTGCCATGAATTTTCCTCTTATATCTACAAACTCGAGCGATGACAACAAACACTGAGGCACAAAAGGGACTCTTGTTTGGCTCGTATCGACCGTAGTAGAATCAGTTAAATCCTACAAAATAAGATGAATTAATATACTAGATAACATATTTCTTTAAATGTATAATTAAGTTAAAGCTCTAGGGTTGGTACAAGTCATTACCAAGACGATGGATTTTAGATTTGGACAGCTTTCAAGAAGCGTTTGCAAGGATTCAAGAATCTTCACATCGGATGAACAAAATTCTGCTTCCAAATAGGACAGGTTGAAAAATTGGGGTAATGGTTCTACTTTCAAGTAGCAATTGATTAGCTGCTCATATAAAAACGAAGAAGAGAAGAGTATGGCTGAGCAAAATTTCGTTAAATAGCATTACATATAATATGAAAGTTCATTAGAAACATACCTCAAGAATATGTGCAGAGATGTTCAGATCCCTAACTTTCGAGATACCGATGAAAAAGTTACGGGCCATTTGTTGCTTTGATAAGCGACCTCCATCAGAGATACGAAAGGAGCCAACAAAATTGACCTTAACTAAGGAATTCAAATTGCTTACGGTTTTACTATCCGATAGTTCATGTTTGAAATTCAAATACTTGAGTCTAGGGGCATCAATCCAAAGCCCCAGGTCTCTTTGACCAAAACAGAAAAGCCCTAGACCCCACTCACCAAGATCAAATTCTACACTTAGACTTGTCAATGTTTGAGAATGCACTCGTAAAACGTTCACATTATCATTGTAATCCACACTTCTAACAATGCTCAAATCTTCAAGAACTGGGCAAGATGAAATGAGTGACTCCAGACCCGCATCATTGTCATATACATTGAGTTCTAAATGCATAGTCTTGAGACGAGGTAATGAAACAGACTCAAAACTATCCAAATATATCCGATGAAGTCTTAGGGTAATAAGCGTCTCACAGATATAAAGGCTTAAGGGCATCACTTCAAAACACTCACGCTTCACAAAAAGACACTCAACATCAAGATGCTGAAGTTTACGTGTAGCAACAAAGTCTATCCATCGCGTGATACGATACTGATCACTCCAAATCTTCTGAATACTTAGCTTGAGCTTGTGCAAGCATGATTTCTGTTCCCTAGAGAAATCTACGAATCTGTCCATAAAAATCACAAAGGCTTTGTAATTTGGGAACTCTTCAGAGTCTAAATCCAACCAGGGAATCGAAAGCCAGATACTTTCCCACCTCTTGGACAAAACACAAGTCCTAACAGCTTTCTTTATCGGGAGATACAAGAGTATCTGAGTTATCAAAGAGTCGGGTAATTTGCTTATCAGATCCTCTTTTGCTCTTGAGAAACCTGCCCGCCGTTCGAGGCATATTCTTTTCGCTTCCCTTTCCTCCATCAAATTTACTGGCAGTGAAGACCTCGAATTCTTCCGAATTTCAGTGACAGATAATCAGAATCTCGATTTTGCGCGTACAAAGACCGAGAAAATCAATAAAAAGTGAAAAGAGTTAAGGGTTTTGTGTGTTGGGAAGATCCGACGAAGAGTCGCGTGCGATGCAAACATGACTCGAGGAACAGAACAAAAACTTTTGATATTTTTATTTGGGCTGATGGGCCTTAATAATTTCTCTGGTTCAAAGACTACAAATTGTCCGTTATTAAAGGTTAACCAAAAAAAGGATCTAAATGCGGCGTCGTTTTGTAGTTGTTTCTTTTGTTTGTTAATGATATTTCCAATTACATCTAATTTTTGTTTCAGTTGAATGTGTAAAACACATGCAATATGATGAGTGTATTATAAAAATGTTTTTATTTTTCGTGTATTTTAATATAGAATCTCAAACCGTTTATGCATATTTATGGAAATAACAAACTATTTGTTGATTATTAATTGGTTTTCCCAAAATTTTATAATGTAAAGTTTCATATTTTCTATTTGTTTATTCTGATAAATTATATTTGAAGCAAAAAGAGACACATTACTCACATGAAAACATAATTCAGTATTACCATTTTCACTTTAAGAAAACACTTACTTATAAAAGAAATCATAAACTTCCAAGTTCCAACAAAACCAGATTCTTATTATCAAAAACCGAAACTAAACAAATCAAACCAAAACATACTTAACCAACCGAGTTACATAACCAAACAACTCAAACCTCGTTTACATTAGGAAACAAGTTCGATATGAACACAAGATTCAAGGTGTTACAACAACGGAAGATTTGACGGCGGCGACCGGGAAATCCAGGAGAACAATCTTGTCGATAACGGCGGTGAAAGCGGCTGAGAATTCAACGTGAAGAGGATGGCTTGTAAAGGCAACGTAACCATCTTTGTTCTCAAAGGTCATTGAAAATGCGTGAGTGAATCCTTGTCTAAGCATCTCGTGACTCTCTTTATCTTCTCCCCTAGTTATCATCAAATCGTACGGTCATTAACTAGCTAGAGATCCAAAATATTATTTTAATTATAGAAAGAAAAAAAAAAACAATGATCACAAACCATTCAAAGGATTTGACAGTATCAATCTGAGAAACAAGATTCTCCAAGCCCTCCAAGATCTCATCAACCTTAGCATCTTCCTTAAACTTCACAACCACCAAATGCTTAAACCCTGAAGTTGCCATTAATTTTATTACTTAAGCTTCACACACTTACAAGTATACTTATGTTGAAGCATTTCTTATATAGAGGTGGAGATTCCTATGTATGTGTGCACGTGTGAATGTACACGTGTGTATGTCTGTACACATGTGTGTGAACAATAATGCTTTTTGCTGTGCTTGATTTCAATGTACAATCTTCTGTCTGCTTCTGACATTACCTATATGACTATTTGTCTCTGAATTTAAACAATTTTTTTGCTTGGTTTTCATTTGTTTTTCAACTAGTCTTTGACAACTTACATGTTTTGTCAGGTTATAATTTGTATTTCGAATTTACTGTCCGAAATTTTAGGTTTCGAATAGTTTTGACTTTAAGTGGATTTGCATGTCTGTGTTCTCATTCACCGAAAAAAATAACTTGTGTAGCTGTAATGCATAGCCGCACCAGCTAGCTAGGGCGTACCACACAAATTCTAAATATATGACTAATCTAGAAAAAAAACAATTCTAAGAACTTTGTTTCAGTTGATTTAACTGATAAAAAAACTGTAATGGAATATATCTAATAACTTCATCAGCCATTTTTTAACTACTATATACTTGATATTTTGACCGTTTTGTTGTAACCACATGGACCATACCAACAATATTTATAGGATTGGGAATTTGGGATATCTGAAGAGTTCAACACGTTTAAATCGAACATTTATTTTTTCTATCCAAACACTAGCGATGCTGTTCTAGCCATATGATATACTTTATATTTACCGCTTTATCGTTGTTGTTAAGATCCATTTTATTGTGTTTCATTAATATTTTAATTGTGTTTTGTTGCATTTAGTGTCCAAGTGAGTCTTCTTCCATTTTAAAAGTCCTATAGTGTCTTTGTGTGTCTTTTGGTGTGTTTTGTGTGTCTTTTGAGCAATTTCAGGTTAAAATAATGGACGACACACATTTGGATGCAAAGAAGAGAATTGATGATTTAGCTTCAGAACTCTTCATACAAGTTATAGGAAATTGAGTTATATTTCCAACGGAGGTGATTTCAAGCGAATCAGAGCTTCGATGCAAGAATTATGGTGGTTTTAATAGAGATATATCACTCAGGCGCGGAAAAGAACAAAGGAGGAGTCACTGAACATTTCAATCGACCTGTTGGTCGATTTAATGGTCGATTGGGACGATAACAGGCTGCAGACGAGAAGCAATCGAGGGAGCAATCGACCTATGCATCTATAGAAGCCTTTGCAAATTTTTGGGTTTGACCCGGTTTATCTCGGGTCAATCCGGTTCGATTCTATTTTGTATTTAAGCAATTTTTAGACATTTTGTAACCTAAGTTTTCTTCTCTAGAGTTGGATTAGGATCCAAACTCTCTTCTTGATATTTTGGATTGATCTTCAACAATTCATGCCACTTTAGTGAAGGATTCTTCATCTTTATCTTGTATCTTTATGTTACGCATTTTTTTTTTATCTTTCACCATGTTTAGTAGCTAGTCTTTTTGTTGGATAATGGGTTATGCTAGATTAGGATAATTTGATGGTTAGATGATGATGATTTAGGCTGCTTATTGTTAGATCCTTCATCTAGGTTGCTCTTAATGCTAGTTTTGACTTGATCACTCAAAATCTAGACCTTATGCAATTCATGCCCGGAAGGTGTTTGTGAAAATGCTTGAACCAAACCTTTATGAGCTTTACATATCTAGCCAACGGGAGTTGATGAATAGAGTGTTTAGTGAACTAATTGGACTTGTTTTTAATGCTCATTGGTCATTTGATTGGGAACGGAAGTTGTTGATGATTATATGATTAGTGAAGTGATTAGTACCATGGAAGTGGATTTATCATAATTGTGAGTTTCATGTTCTAGGATGGTGCTTAATTCAACCTCTTGCATCATTGTTTGAATGTTAATCAATTCTCATGATAGTTAAACCCATGGTCCAATGCTTTTTCTTTATTTTACTTCTTGGATTTCTTATCTTTTCATCAAAACAAAAACCTAAAAATCATTTCCTCTAGATTAGTTTGAATCTCGCATCTTTAGTGTTGCAATCTTTATTCCTTGTGGTTCGACATCTAAAATACTTTCGCGATAGATCGTTGATGCATTTAGATTATTAATTGATAAAAACGCATACATCACCGTACCTACTAAATCGGATCACAACTTTTTTTTTGAAACATTGTTGTTTATTTTTTGTTAAAAGCACAAGTGAAACATTATTGTTATAAGTAAGAAACTTATAAGCGTGGTAAGTGGTTTAGTCTCACGTTCGATGTGATTGATATATACAAAGAAGTCATTTTTTTTTCCGACTTCTCTTTGATATTCAAAAACGTTGCATATCTGATTTTCCCTACCGAATAATCTTGACGTAAGGTCTTACCATTAGTGAGAAAAATAGTACTGTTCATCTGATCATCTCTCTCATCGATGGTGACAAAAAAAATTAGCACGTGAATGGTTGGTTCCGTCGTTGTCTATCACCATATGTATTGCTATCTTCAATTTATTTGGAAACATATTAAAGATTATATGGCGACATAAATATTGCTCACGGTGATGGTATTGTTTATTTTCTTGTAGTATGTATGTGATGAAGAAAAATGATTCATTTAGGTACTCTCAAGTCTCATTTGCGATGTCCTACATTGTGTACCCACAAGAACTGAAAATAACCTCACATTTGTTTTGTTTGTTAATTTTCTCCATATGCATGCATGTATTTGATCAAATCGATATGATTCTATCAAAGACTGGTAGGCGAATTTCGTCAATATAAGAAAATGAGTTCGTTATATCAAAATCAAAATGATGGTAGATTTTGGATTAATTTTCCTCGACCAAAAAACGTGAATAAATTCCATGGAATATTGATCCAAAGGAAACTACACGATTTGATAATCCTATTTTAAGATTCTTATTACAATGATCAAATCAATTTGACCGAACCAAATTGAACCTATAAACCAATCTTAAATCATACCAAAGTGGATTCAGTTGACTTGGTAATTTCTTTCATTTCAAGTTAGATTTGAATATGCTAATCACTCAACCCTAAGGTCCCTAAGAAAAGGTATACAGATCTTCTTTTTTTTGGGAAGAAGATCTGAGAGGAAAAAAAAATCCAATGGAAAGAGAAACATGGTGCATGGATTTGTGTCAGCTCATCTTTTGTGAACCCCTTTTACAATAAAGTTTGATTCAGCCAGACTATTTCTTTTCTATGATCCTTCTTGCGCTCCTTCATTCTTCTCCAGTCACATGAAACTTGGACCCATCAATTCTATTTTCTTCATTATTTCCCTCTTAAAGATATGATTAAAGTAGCATGTGGCCATGCTCTTAAATCAATTCCCACTGAAAATGACATTATATCGACCCATTGCCTAACATTATTGGTACTATTTTTTTGAGAAACAAAATATGGACCGGATCCGATGAGGAGATTTATGGTATGCCATGGTAAAACAATTTTACCTTTTTTTTTTTTTCTTTCTGTTATTTGGGTCGAGAATACCCAACCAATAACTTAATCCCTAATACGCGGAGTAACGTGATTTATTGGAGTCGAATTTTCAATAGGAAGAATGTGGACCTTTAACCATTTGAGGAAAGACACTCCCCACAATTTTATTTTGCTTAATTTTTTTTTATCCTTCATTCAAATTTGTTATCTTCACACATGTACGTTTTACCTCATGAGAAGTGCTTAGGTGAGCGTTGTGAAATGCTGTAGGGGAAAATGCATTGTGCTCCGTATAAAAATGGTCCAACCGTAGCTAATGCCGAGCATGATTTCGTAGAGCGGAGAAGCAGAGGAGCAAGATTGATTGAAAAGGTCTGAAATGAGAAAAGCTTATATAGAGTGCAAACGAGCTAGGTCGGGTAACATGCGAACTGGTTCAAATTGCTGGGAAGTTATCGATCGACCGTGGAATGGCCTATACAGCTATACTTAGCTCCAAAAACCCAAAGTAGTAAAACATTTTTCTATTGAAGAAACAATTAATGCATGGGCTGGAAAGTATTGGTAAACATAGATATATGCAAAAGCCCAATAAAAAATAAAAAGCCTATTAGTCATTGTTTTTTTATAACTCCTAAAGGTAATTTGTTCATCTATAACAAAAAAAATATCTCAAATTCAAATGGCTTTTTATAAGTCCATTGAAATTGCTGATAAGTCCAGGTATCCTAAGTTTTTCTCTTCCGTTGCGTTACTAACGTAACAATTTAAATTCCCTAATAAGATTTTATTTAAATGGACTAAGTAAAAGTAGCTTTGGTTGGACAATATTTAAACTTTGTATAAATGAATATATTACATGTCGAAGAAGAAATCCAGAATTAGATGGGTGAAAAGAAGAAGGAAGCTGGATCATGTGCTTCTTCTACAAGTCTAATGAAAGGTGGTTCAAGAAAACCGTAGTCCTCACTAAACCTGAGTTTTCATTTGCCAAAATTGCTATCAATAACGACTCTGATGATAACAAAGTTTAAGCATTTCAAAAGGCCTTTTATCTACTTAAAAGGGCGCTACAATTTTCAATCATCTTGGTCTAATAAAATCTATATGACCATAAAGAGAGAATTTGTATATGTTGTTTAAAAGTTGTGGCTAGTTATTTTTTTATCCAAGGATGTAGCTTGTCTGTTTTGTATAGATAAATGTGGTTAAGAAATTTAACTTGGGTAGGTTATCTATTACTCCCTCCGTTTCGTTTTAGTTGTCGTTTAAGGTTTTTTCACACAAATTAAGAAAGTATTAAATTTTCTGTTTTACTCTTTATTAATATATTTTATAAAAAATTTCATTGGCCAAAACATTAAAACTGTAGGGATAAAACTGGAATTTTTACCAAATATTTGCATTGAAAACCTAAAACGACAACTATTATGAAACAAAATTTAAATCCTAAAACGACAACTAAACTGAAACGGAGGGAATAGTTAAGTAGGAAAAATGTAAGATCGCGAGCAAGGACGATGGATTTTTTTTTTTTACCTTATTAGGAAAAATCAGGACGTCAAAACTATTTATTTATTAAAGCTGGAAGCACGATCGAATCTACAGATAAATATCTTGAATTTAAAAGTCCAGAAGAAGTTAATATAAAGATAAGTTCTGTATAGGATTATTGAAAATGGGGAAATTTGGTTGAAGTCGTCGTCAGATAAAAGAAGTCATGGAAGCAACGTTCCAACTACTTGGTTTATTTAGCTAATAAATAAAATTATTATAAATGTATCACCATTATTATCA